CTGTGTTTTTCTCATTTTGGTCGCCCCCCAGCTGTAACTTTCTTATTTTTTCTTGTTATGGTGGTCTCTTGGCTGAGGCCCAATGCCATTTTACCCCTTGCCCCTACCACTTTACCCTTACATCCTCAGTTTTGTGCGTTCACATCTAGGGGTAGGGTGTCCTGATTTTTGTTGAGACAGAGGGATGGGGCGAAGTGTTAGGGCTACATGGCCCTCCAAACAGAGGTTTTTCAGAGGCACCATTTAAGGTGGAACAGGAAAATTCAAGCAAGAAGCTGGTGGACTTCAGCTTCATATCACTGAAGAATTAGTGTTGGGCAGTAATAAATAATTGTCCCCCCTCTTTGAAGGCATATGATGCCCTAAATGTAACTAAAGCCCAGCAGTGAGAAGCTGAACTTTACCCTCCTCTGCTATCATATACATAAAATTAAATACGTCCTTGATATATGGTCGAATATGTCCCAGTACAGTTACCATGTTACTGTTATCTATCAGCTTTTAATGATTAAATTATTTAAATTGTCTGGGAACAGTATTTTTAATTTATTACATGTTTTAATCATTTTATTACATTACTTATAATGTTTTCTATCATAATAGTGATACACATATATGTTTGTATTTGTCGATATATGGCTGAAATATATGTCCCTTATTTAAAAATGGCCAGTTTTAAATTAGCATGTACACTGAGAATGATTGACCCCTCAAATAATATCTGCTCAGTGGTGGTCCTGATCATTAAAGAACAGGGTAAAAGGGGGCTAACACAGTATGCTGAGAACAGCATGGATTTCAGTCTGTAACTGTAGAACTACAAAGTGCACATACAATGAGTAGCATAGTGTGGAGTCTGTTTAGTGTGAAGTCTGTTTAGTGTGAAGTCTGTTTAGAGTGAAGTCTGTTTAGAGTGAACTCTATGTGTTTAGTAAGAATTCTTTGAGTTTAGTAAGAACTCTATGTGTTTAGAGGGAACCTAGTCATTGTTAATGCCAGCAAAGTCAACAAAGGTAATGTTTCACAAAGCTGTTTAAAATTAGGTCAAATATGGCATTTAAGTTTGGTTTAGCCTTCAACAATTCCTTAAAATGCCCTCATGTAAGACGGTGTAGCCGTGCAGGCAGATGCTTGGTCATGTCCCATGAGGATGAGCCCAGCACAATAACGCATTGTATTTCTGCACGCAACAGGCCGTGTGTTGTCCTGTGCCAGAGCAGGTGAGAGAAACAATTGGAAAACCTAAAAATAACCTGTCGCCTGTTTATTAAAGTCCTGTCCTGCCGCTTACTACAGTGCGTGACTGCATAACCACGTATGCTCGTGGCAAGTGTTCACGTATACAGTAGACAACACGTAGTGGAGTGTTGGCCCATTGTCCAGACACACGGCTCCTTCTGCTGTGGAACTGACGCACAATGTCATATCAATGTTAGAGGAGGTGGAGGCACATCCTATTCTAACAGTACAATAAACTACTACTACTACAACAGAAATACATCATATCAGATTAGTCTGGATAATATATTGACCCATTCACGTCCAACAGCTACTTTTAGTATAATAATGAACAGTGTGGCAGAACTATTTGGTTTAAAGTGATGTAATTTTGTGTTATTATACCATGGATGATCATCTATTCCTCTTCTTTTTTTGATTACATGTAATTTTCATACTTTTGTTCAGAATCGAATTTGGATTTTCCAAATATAGTCACCTGTGACCAAAATTTAATATGATTAATTAAAGTTAAATCACTTTTTAGCCGTATGGTTTGATCTGTGTGAAAAAAGTCAAAGAACATATGGACCAAATGAGATTTCAAATTTCGGATATGGACATTGATTGAATAATATTAAATATATTTATATAATTATAAACATGCGGCAGAATGTGTTATGTTTGGTCCAGAGTGAAGTTTTGTATAGTTATAGAGGAACATCTATCAGTACCCACTGAAATTATTCAGCCTATGTGTAATTTTCATGCTTTTATTCATCCATCCATCCATCATCTAAACCGCTTATCCTTCTGGGTCGCGGTGGGGTGCTGGAGCCTATCCCAGCTGTCATTGGGCGGAAGGCAGAATACACCCTGGACAGGTCGCCAGTCCATCGCAGGCTTTTATTCACAATCATGTTTAAAAATCAGCATGATTAAAATCAGCAGTTCAAAATACTAGATTTATAAGTGTGTGAACATGACATACTTATCATAACAGATATATATGGATGATATATTAACCCATTCAAGTCCAACAGCTAAATGTAGTATGATGGGACAAAAGGCCTAGAGAGATTGTTCTGATTGGTTCAAAGTGATTACATTTTGTATAGTTATACCTTGGACGAACATCTAACAGTACTCATTTAATTTTAAATACTTTCAATCAAAATCAAATTTGGATTGTTTTTTGTTTTGTGATACATTAAGTGGCTGTTGATTGATTGAAAAAATGTAAATAACCTACAGAAAAAAAAAATCATTTATAGACATTAGTAGGTTAATAAGAAATATCTGTATCATATAAAATGTATTTGGATAATACAGTATATTAATATAACAGGTTACAATACCAATATTTGGTTACAATAAATAAGCAGATTGATAAATAGCTAGATGCTAATTCAATTTCCACACACACATTTATTTCCTTTCTTTGTGTTTCATTGCCTTCTTGTTAACAGCTAATATAGTAACATGATGCATAAAGCAAAAAGCACTTGACAGTGCAAATTTATTGAAAGTTTATGGTTCTTGAGGCTGAAAAAGTGAAAAATCCATGCCATACCATCACATGGCATACGAACCGACAATCCCACACCGATTGCACAACTTCCTAAATTCTATTCAGTTTAACTAAGTTACTTCTCCTATAAAGAGCTGATATAATGGAAAAAACAAACCTTCCTCTTTTTTTAGAATAACAGTGTAATGTGTTATGTAAACTTTATTAAGCTGTTAAAGTTTCAAAACCATTCAGTTGTATGCAAAAGTTTGAAAAACACTCCATCAATTACAAAATGTTTTGTTGAATTTCAACTTCAGCACATTTTGTTTTATTTTATTTCCAGTATGTTAAATTGAACAAATAAACAGTAATTGTAAAGAAAATGTGAAGAATATATATATATATATATATATATATATATATATATATATATATATATATATATATATAATTTCAAATTTTAGTGAACAATTTCTGTTTATTTGCTGAGTTTAACATACCAGAAAAAATAAAACATACAGCTTAAAATGTATAATATATATATATATATATATATATATATATATATATATATATATATATATATATATATATATATTAAAATGTACTAAAACCTTAGACTTCAGCACATTTTATGTTTTATTTTATTTCCAGTATGTTAAATATTGAACAAATAAACAGTAATTGTAAAGAAAATGTGAGTAAAACAAATATGTTCTTTAATCCCTAGAATCCCCACAAAGCTCTGAATACATATAAACTCACACAATGCCACAAATTACAATGAAAATAAAATTAGTTTTAAAAAGTATATGGGAAAATAAGGATCATTTTCACACATACATTTGTTTGCCTCTTTGTGTTTAATTGTCTTCTGGGTAATAGCTAACATTCACTCTGTGGAAAAAAAAATAGACTAAGCCCAAAATACTAATGGTTTATATTGAAGATTTTGGCCTGGTCAGAGTCCAGATTAAAACCCTATGGAAAATATTTGGTCTCACATGAAACTGAAAAATCCATGACAAATATGTGACATAAGGACCAGTAGTAACCCCACTCTCAACTGCACAACTTCCTAAATTATACTCAGTTTACTTCTCCTTAAAAGCACTCATATCATGGAAAACTAACACTTTTCAAATCATGTTTAGTTTCTTTTATAAGTGAAAATAAGTTAACACGTCCTCTACAGCACGTTCCGACCCTTGTCCTGGAGTAAACCCTGTTCTGCACATGTTTGCATTTTCCTGCTGTACATCAACCCCACTCAGAGAGTCAAGTCAAGTTAGGTCAAGTCAAGTCAAGTGGTCTTTATTGTCATTCCACAGCGTAGCTTCTATGCATCGGAATGAAATGAGGTTCTATAGGCCTCGTTGGTGCAACACATGATAGCAGAACATTACACAGGACTACATAAAGTGAAATGAGTGCTGAACATACAATAAACACAGCAGATAATAAATATAAAGGACAGTAAATACTAGGCAGGACCACAAAATAGTTCATATGATTAGGCATCATATATGTGTATATACACATATATGCATGAATTGGCATCAAGTAGCATGTTAGTAATGAAGGAACAAGTGTAAACATTATCATTGTAAACTGTATAGAAATATTGTATAATAGCAGATTCAAATAGTTTGAAAGTGAAGGCATGCAGTGATGGTAAGACTGTGATCAGTCCATGGTGAACGTTGGAAAGGGTCTAGATTAGTCCAGGAATATGTTGGGGGCCATCAGTTGTCCGCTGTTGTGGTGGTGGTGGTGGTGGAACGGACACTCTGGTACCTTCTGTCAGATGGCAGCAGGGTGAGGAGTCCATAAGAGAGGGCTTGTTAATGAGCTGATAAGTTGGATCAGGTGTGCTGGGAACAGGGAAAACTGTGCAGGGCAGGGGTTACTCTAGGGCCAGGGTTCTAAAGCACTGCTCCACATTGAACAACCTCAAATCACTACACATTACAGGGAAAACTGATGAATTTTAGGAAGAAATGTACAAAGTACATGGGAATCAGCAATCAAGGAGCCTGTATTGCGTCTTCAGAGATGAGCCCCTTAATAAAGCAGATGACAGTATGATAAATTATCTCCTTCTATCAACTCTCAAGAGACAGTCAACCTCCTTCCATCCGGTGTTCTGGAGAGGAGTGGTGGGAGTGAGTGTGGGAGGGGGGTACATTCGGCGCCTGTGAGGGCAGGGCAGCTTTTGGGACCCTGCTCGTCGGTGGATAATTTGAATAAAAGATCAGGAGGTGGGAGTGTTGGCTGGGGAACAGCGAAGATTTTACTGATAAAGTGGTTCCTGTCTGTCTCTGTCTTCAGCCTCCTCGTAGAGTATAAAGCCTGCAGCCCACCGCAGCTGCCAGTGGGTATCGTGCGCATTTATACAGCAGGTGTTCAGAGTTTAACAACTGTGGAAGATATGACTCTTACAGCAATGGCTGCATCTCTCTTCAGACTGAGACTCTTCGCCCTCTTCTTTCTGTATTCAGGACTAGCAGGTAAGAATGATTGCTTTCTGAATGTATTATAATAATAATAAAAACAATAATAATATTAAAAAAATAACTTTATTTATGTAGCACTTTTTATACATAATATAAACGTTTATTGAAAAGGTTATTGGCAGGGACAATAAAACAAAAGTGGCATAACACTCAAATAAAATGTTATTGTATGAATTTATATAATAATAACACACAATTTTATATCAGTGTTATCAAAAGGTACAGTTTTCCCATATGGTGGAAAGCATTTTGCTTTTATAAAATCCAAGTATTAATAAGGATAATGTCCCTATTAAGAGGTACAAACCTTAGATATTATCAGATTATCATCTTGCTTAATTTGCTTGTATTGTATTTCACTTTACATGCATCTCACTGTAGATATCTCTGACTGAGAGGAGGTCTGAGCTACTATACAGGAAGAAATAGTGCATTGTAAAGGAAGTCCACTACTGCCAAGGGTCATTCACTCTTTTCCTGGTCGCCTGTCTTTTATCTGCTTTTAGTCTCTTGGAGCTATTTCTGGTCTTGTTCTGTCTCTCACTTAACAATAGAGGGCTTATGAATGCTTAAGCGTAATAATAACTGTTAAAGACATGCTGTCTCTCTCAGTGTGTGTTCTCTCTCTGCGTTTCTTTCTGTCCTCTCAGTCTCATTGTTCCTAGCGAGGAGCGAATAATAAAATGCTCTTTTCTTTTTTCAGATGCTAAAATAGAGATCATCACCAGTGAGACGGACATCAAGGTCGGAACTGAACATTTATTACTGTGCAAAGGTTAGTCAGCTGTTCTCTTTTTTTCTGATGTATATATAATATGTACTCTTACAAATATACAAATAAAGGGTTCATGCCAGAGAGAACATGTTTGGCTGCCTAAAGAAACTTTAAGCAGCTCTTTAAAAGGGAATTTCACTGACATTTCAAAACTTCTGCATAATTCAGTCGTTGAGATGTAAACAAAGTAAAGTAAACTCTTCAGACGTCTGGTTCCTATCACCATCACTGTGAATGATTCTGAGGTTTCTCTAGAACAACATTTTCATATCAAATCACTCTAAATGACTTTGTTTACATCCTGACTATTTAATTATGCAAAAAGTCTGAAAAATCTGTGGAATTCATCAGTGAATAACTATTTTAGTGTGCAAGATGTGCAAATGTGAAGAAAGTTTTCAAGGTTAAAGAGTCACAGCATAATGTAAATGTTGTATGCCAGTTAATAGTCTTTCCTAGTCCAAGCTAAACATTCCAGAACTTCCAAAACAAACCTGCAGCACTCTTAGTAAGAAATTCATACAACATTTAGAAGGCACATAAAGGAATTATGATGTTCTGTTGTATCTTTATTTCATGTGGTATTTTCTTTATCCTTATAACTTCTAGCTGGTAAAGAGGCAGATATTATTTGGCAGAAGGATGGGGAGGACGTGGACGAAGATCGCCATGTAGTGGAGAAAGTAGATGAAACTTCGAGTAAACTGTACTTGAAGAAGGTTGACCTAACAGACAGTGGAACGTACACATGCAATTGTGACTATGAAACTCACACTGACAAGGCATCCATCAAAATCCTTGTCTACGGTAAGACACCTTGTGTTTCGTAAATCTAATATTCATACTGTGTGAGAAAGTGCTGTCAACATTTATAACTGTGTTACCAGTGCTGTTATTTTGTAAAGAACCATTTTTAATACATATAAATCAATTATTTTGTTTGTTTCCTTGCTGAGCCTGTACTTGCTCTTATGGAGGTAGAGGAAAAAAAACAGCATCATGTCAGATATCAACTTACTATCTGGAAATAATGACTCATTTTCTCAAAATATTGATTTTCTTGAAATATTTACTTAATATCTCAAAATGACTTATTTTCTCAAGATTTTGAGATGTAAAAATAACAAGTTTGTATTTATTTATTTTGCAATAATAAGTCATTATTACAAGATACTAAACACTAAGTTGTGATTTTGTCTTTATTTTGACCTCATGAGTCATTATTTTGAGAAAATAAGTCATTCAAGACATACTAAGTGTACTGTAACAAAAAAAGTCAATATTCTGACCTAGTCAGCATTTAAAAAAAATTGTCAGTGATTTTATTGGTATCTATGATCTGGTTAGACGATCACAGGTATATATATATATATATTTTTATATATATACATATGTATTTTTTTATATATACACACACACACACACATATATATATATATATATATATACAGTTTTTGTAGTAACCATCCAATACCTGGCTGGGCTTATCAATATATATTGATAAGCCCAGCCAGGTATTGGATGGTTACTACAAAAACTGTATTTGCTTCAAGGAACCCGATCTGGTAGATATACAATCACAATTTATTGTATCAATGTTTATTCAAATGTTGGTGGTTTTGTGAGAAATGTATACATCAATTTGGTTCTAGATGTCATTTTGCCAGGTGCTATGAGACTTTAGCACAGTTCCATGCATCTACAGCTTTGTAAGTGATTCCAAGAAGCCCTTTGATTCACATTTGCTTTTCATTGCTCTTTCATTGTCAGAGGACCCAAACTTTGGCAAGACAAAGACATACCATGAGTTTTTGGTGAACCAGACAGTGCATGTCCCATGTGTGGTCACTGGGAAGCCTGATGTGGAGATCAACTGGTATCGGGATGGTCACCTTTTGAGCAATGACGGTAGGACCCTCGGTACAGGCTATCCATGTGGTACGGGAGTCTCCTCGCCTTCCTCATTCTCTGTGATGCCTGCAGCTGGCAGAGCGGAGGGGTGGCGATGGTGGACGACAATGGTTATGGGGCGGGAGGTCACCGGCTCATGTCATGACCCAATTTGTTGCCAAATTGAGGGATGTTTCTGGCCAGCGGCTGGACAACATCTTCACAGCTCTGTCCATTTGATCAAATATCTCATCCGTCTAACACTCAGAGTGAGAGAATACTAACTCCAAAAATTTGACCCAGTTTCTCATCTGTCTAACAATGAGAGTGAGAGAATACTAACTCCGAAAAAGCTGCACTGCCCCATGTCACGAAATGCCACCATTGACAACCTAAGTAGTGCATGTGCTTTATAAGCCTTCATTTCATTGTAATGAAAAAAAGAAGGTAGTGGTCAACAGTGATGACTCCCTCACTCCTTCTTTTCCACAGGCAGTGGTCATCTCACAGTTCTGCCGAATAGGAATCTGCAAATTACGAACATTCGTAAGAGTGATCATGGAACCTACACCTGTGTGGCGAACATAAAAGATCGACCGACCATAAAGAAGGTGCTGGACATCTCTGTTGCTGTAAACGGTAAGGTGTGAGAGTTTTTACACTGTACAGAGACATGGCTCAATAAGAAGCTAAACCAAGAGCGACAGGCTGCTCTAGAACTCATTGATCATGTCAGGATCTGGTGAAAGATAAATGTTGCAAAGAGTTATTCTCCTAACTGTTTCCTCCACTTTCTTGCTCCTCTAGTTCCACCGACCGTGATGATTCGCAGTGAGCGGACAAATGTTCATGCGGGACCAGACACAAATGTGACAGTAATCTGCCTGGTTTCAGGATATCCGCAACCAACCATTATCTGGACAGTGTAAGTACTTTCATATAGTAGCACACCGATTACTGTGCAAAACTCACAGACCACCCTTCACTTCCTTTAGTTATAGTCAAATTGACCATTATGCACAAGTTATTTACCAACATGAAAAACAGAAAATGACTAAAACAACTAAGTAGAATATCCAGTATTTTTTAGTATTGAGTGTGTCCACATGGCCTTCATGACAGCTTCTATTCTCCAAAGACACTCACTTTTTAGTTTTTCAAAGAAATCTGCAGGGATATTTTTCCACACCTCCAAAGTTCAGTCTTAGAAGTTGGTTGCACTTTCTGATTCTCACAATCCAAATAACCCCAAACTCATGCAGTGAAATTGAGCTCTGGACTCTGGGGTGGACAGTCCATTGTTCTGAAAACACCACTAGCTTCTTGTTTAACAACTCTATGAGTTGTCTTCTCACAAAGGAGAGACTGACAGAAACACCTGTGGATTTTTCCAAATCTGAAGCAAGAGTGGAGCTTAATTTCTCCTCTCTCTCAAAATGAAAAAGCTTTAATTATTGTTTATCTGATAATTAGAGTTTTGGTGGTCTACTAGCTTGTGCACATTTGTGAGGAGGCCCATTTTCTCTTAATTTTTAATTTATTTTTTGAACTCCGGTTTTGAAAACTCCATTTGTTTCCACGTATTTGCCTTTGACTTTCTTCTTTCCTAGCCAAGTGGATTATCTTATCTTTAACCTTCTCAGAAATATGTCCTTAAAAATAAATAAAATGTACTAAATGGCCGTTTTAAAAGGAAATTAAATAAATGAAGGGTGGTCTCTGACTTTTGCACAGTATTGTATCTCTTTTTTGTAAGTAGACACCAGTAACCATGATTCATTTAGCAGCATTAATCAGTTAGCATTTTCACATTGTGCAGTTATGGGTTTGATTAAACTTGTATCTATCTTCCCTCTCAGGCCTTCTACCTCAGATTCCTCTCGCTACATATACAACTCAGACAAGAGTGAGCTCATCATCCCAGCTGTGGCCAGAAGTGACTTTGGAGAATACGCCTGCACGGCTTCCAATAAGCTTGGAGATGACAGTGCAGCGTTCATACTGGACGTCTCAGGTGAGAAATCGTTTGGCTGTTAAACTAAGCAAGGAGGCTGAAACCACATGTATAATCCTCTTTCCTTAAAAAGAAAAACAGTGAGCTAAGCTAGAGTTCCTGCATGGTTGGTATGGATCGCTTGGGTCTTACAGTAACAGTATCACCTATTTTGGCACCAAGAAAGTAAACTGATATGGGAAGCTGATACCATAGCCTGAGTAGTGCTTTGTGCCCATTTCCATTTCCTTTTTTTTCTGATGTTGACAACCACAAATCAATTCTTACATCAAAAGTTTACTGCAGAGATAAACAGAGATATCATGGAAAATTTGGTGCAGTGTAAGCAAATATTTCCATTTGGCCTTACTAGAAACTTTTATTCTTTTAATCCAACTTCAATGGTTTAGAGCAGCTTCTAGATTTCCTCTACATTTTTATCCTTTCTGTCTGTGCCGTCATTCACCATTTGTCCATTATTTTTAGCATTTGGTGGCCCTTTTAAATAGACCTTTTTTTCTGATCCTGTAGTAAAACCTCCTTTAATCAAGTCAGGTAGTCAAATAGTTCCTCAAAGGTCATTTCTTGTGAAAACATATCACTGTTAACTTCTTTATCTTGGGTTTAAGGGATCACATAGTTGTTCAGTGTATCACCTTGTTTAGGGAGCATGATGGTTGTTCTGCAGTTTGTTAACTTTGTAATGGGGGTTGCTGATTGTTCTCAGAACGCCCATCAGTGATCTTGAGCCAGGAGGAGATGGCAGTGAAGCTTGGAGGGTCCGTGTCTGTGTCCTGCAATGCCACAGGACACCCTTCACCCACCATTGAGTGGCTCAACCCTGAGGGCAAGGTAGGAAACTGAGTTTTTGTTTAAAGGACCAACTGTCCTGCATGGCTGCATATAATGATTATGTTCTACAATATTATATATATATATATATATATATATATATATATATATATATATATATATATATATATATATATATTACATTCTTGTTTCTTATTGTGTTTCTTGTGCTGGTCTGCAGAAAATAGAAGGATCAGAGTCTGAGCTCAATATCGAGAATGTGAAGCCCTCTGATGGCGGTGTCTACTCCTGCAAAGCCCACAACAAGGCAGGCAGCACCACAAAGGATTTCAGGCTAATAAGTAAGAGCTGGGAACCACTGTATTTATAATTAGATACACAGTATCCTACAGTTACCAAGCTATAATATAAATGATTTAAGGTTTGCTTATCATCAGGGAAATTATTAATTTCTAGAAAAGGGAAATATATATTTTTTTGCAATAACCCACAAAATAGTCAACACAGCAGAGCACTAAATTGTGTGAGTTCATAATCAAATGTATATCTTAAGTTTGTTTATCTTCATCAATTTTTCGCCCTCATCTCCAGCTGCACCTGCAGTGCCCATCTATTTCACTGTTTCACCTGGACCCACATCAGCCCACATCACCCTGCACGCTCCCATTATAGATGGAGGGTCTCCCATCACCAAGTTTGTCATCCAGTGGAGAAAACAACCACAAGATGAGTGGAGTCAGATTGCCATCCCTTCTTCTGGTAATTTACTCACCATTGGCACAATATTTAGCATCTTCAGTACAGAATCAGAGTGGTTTTATTTTTTACTTTGTTGTTGTTGTGTTGCGTTTTTTCATGGATAGCTACCATATCTTATCATACTAATTCCTACATTCAGGCACCAACACTGTTGAGACATAGCCCTAGCGAGTAAACAAGCGAATTACAATGCTTTAAATTATTGTACACATGCGGGGCTCTTACATGATGAGATTTTGACAGATATTGTTTGAATCTCTAGAATCGCTGGTAGTCACATCTCTGGCTCCATACACTGAGTATTCTGTGCGCTTTGCTGCCAAAAGCGAACACTTTATTGGTGGCTTGTCTGCTGAGAAGAAGATCCGCACCCAGGCCAGACGTAAGTGTCACTGAAACTCTTTTGCCTTCATCCTCCCATTCCATCTTATCTGCTAACACTTGTGGTAGATGTGATCTGGGGCTTGTTTTTCAAAAGATTTCCAAATTTTGGCTTCTGTATTTGCCTGGATCTTTGAAATAGCCAATGAAATATTCTGACATTGGAGCAGGTTTAACTTTTTTCAGGTCTCCAAAAGACTAGAATAGTAGAAAAGCATGATTAAACATGCTAATGTGGTTAGTGAACCATATATGATTATATGTATATACACACACAATATGATCATTGACTATATGTGTATATATATATATATATATATATATATATATATATATATACATTTGATACAGAATGTGATGTTTTTACATTCTTATCATGTGTACGTATCTCATTGCTCATCCATTGTCTCTATAATTTGCCTCTTCCATCCATCACTCATCTAACTGACCAATGACCATACATGACCTCACCTGCCTGCTGATGACCTTTCACCCTGCATTATGAATCTGCTTCTGATGACGTCCTCGCCATTCCTTTATCCTCACCATCACAGAGGGTAAATCAGTAGGCCTGTCAATTCATTAAATAGACATAACATATACTATGTATTGGGTAGCTTTAAACTGCTGTGAAGTACAACATATATTTTGTCATTCCTTGTAATTGATGGTATAACAATGAATGAAGCCTGTTAGCAACCAGCAGTATTGTGCACATTTCTAGCCACCAAATTCTTGTTGTCATTAATTTTGTCGTGTTTTTGCTCTTCTGTCTCTTCACTTTCTGCAGGGGAGCCGGACAAGCCTGTGCTGTCTTCTACTGATGGCAAGTTAGAGGGAAACTCCTACTCCATCCCAATCAAACAGCTGGACGATGGAGGACATCCCATTCAACATTTCTTAGTGCGCTACAGGATGGTCAGTTGTTAAACTGAATAATTTTACCTTTGTCATTTTTCATCAAAAACAACTAGCAGTTTCTCTCTGTAGTTGGGGTACTTGTATAAAATCCATGTATTTTGGCTCAGGGATTTTGTGACTCTACCTTGGGGTCTCTACCACTCACCATTGCCATAAAATAAATCAGAATACAAGAAATTAAAATTAAGAACTCATTGTTTGCTTTTCAAGCTTATCTAGCTATAACAGTGATTGCATGTAAGTCATAAAAGTAACATTAGATATAAAATATCAATATAAAATTCTCCACAAAACTACACATAATCTAGGACAAACCTCCATTTATGTATGTATATATACAGCACTTTCTAATTTTAGTTATTTATTTAATTTGCAATCACGCCCCCTGGTGGCCAGGATCCTGAGCTGCAGCCCCTAAAGCCCATTAGTTTCTGCCTCTTGAGGAGGTTTAGACCAAAAAGCTACTTGTGCCCGGCTCCATAAACTTTCATGCTTTTTCAAACTTTTCAAACCTGTTTTGGTAAACTAGCTAAGAGGAACACTTTTTCAGAATTAACATCATCTGTTTCACTTTGACAGGAAAAGGAGGGTGAGAACTGGATAGAAAAGGAAATGCCTGCCAGCTCCACTAAGATTCAGCTACAGAATCTTCAGTACAACTCAGACTACCAGATGGAGGTCTTGGCATTTAACATTAATGGCTCTTCTAGCCCAGCCAAACTCAATTTCACCATTCCACAGGGTAAGGTTCACTAGACTACCGCAATCATAAGCATGTGTTCACTGATAATTCATTGACTCTTACACATATCTAACAGTATGGGAACACTGACATCGGAATTGTGGCTATTGTCAACCTTCAATACTTTCCATGTACATATTTGCCAATGCTGATACTGTGATGACAATACATAAACATTTATTGGGACTAGTTAAATCTGGATTGCACCTGCATTTTTGCATTAACTATTTCTTTAACAAACATGTATGTGCTCAACTCTCTTGCAGCCGTGAGTAAGCCTAGCTTGGGTAAAGGTGGAGTGGCTGGAATTGTCATAATCGTCTTCCTGGTGCTGCTGGTGGCAGTGGATGCGTTCTGTTGCTATACAAACCACTGTGGCCTGCTCAACTTCCTGGCCAGAAAACTGTTTGGCCACAAGTTGTCTGAGGCTAAGAGCTTGGAGGAAGGGGTGATCAACAATGCTGCTGTGTAAGCAATCTTGTCCTTTTATTCTATTCGAATTTCATTAAAACTTCACATCTTTTTTTGTGATGAACAGATGGATAATGTGTTTTTTTGCTCTTTTAAGTTGAATAATGACTGAGTTTTAATGAACACCTCTTTGTTTGTTTGCTGAATGTACTGAAACTGGCAACTGCTCTCTTCATGTGCTCCATGGAAGGCCTATTGGTTTATGGGGAAAACAAAGAATACAGACAGCAGAAAGTGTTTATGAAAGAGGGGACCTTTTATGATATAAGAGTGACCCTTTACTGTGAGCTGGCCTGCCTTGGCTGAGTCTCTGTGTCTGTGTATGCTTTGATCCAGAGACATGAAAGGGCTAGAGAAACCGAGGGGTAGCATCCCAAAACTACAGGCACAAAAGAGGGAGACGAACGGGGTACATTCGGAGGTCACGTGCGACAAAGCTCCCCTCACCAAATTCGAGTAGGTCCTCTTTTCAGAAGGGTGGATGCAGACTAGAACTGCCATCCACAAAAAATGGCACTCAGGAACTCAGGATGTGACAGCCTGAACCCTGTTAGAGTCTCAGCAGCTCTGTCAGCCATTTTTTGCTCCCCATCTTACTGCAGTCATTGTAGTTCAAAATTGTGATTGTGATTGTGATCAGAACCTGAAACATATCACAAACATGTCATTGCTGTCATGTCAAAACCTTATAACTCTGTAGCTGCCCTATACATTGTGGACATTTCATGATGAATGAACTTATAGGAATGGTCTTAACTCACAGTATACAAATGATGTTATATTAATGTACATTACAGTTAAGAATGATTTTTCTTTACCATTTTGGATATACAAGGTTTTCTTAAGACAGCGACTTTACATTGACATTGACATTCTCTGTAGTTTTTTAACATAATCAGAACATGATATATAAGTATTTCAGCCTGAATAATCATTATATATTCCCTTCTTTCAGGAAACCGCCCGTCAACGGTGACTCGTCCAACGAAGCACGACTTTGAAGGCTTTACTTCATTGCATTTTTAGAGGAAACACAACTCAAAACTCAAAACAATGGCCCAAGGAACATAGGTTTCTAGACAACCGATGCCAAGAAGTAGCTCTAGAACGTAAGAGGTATTTGTCTGTATAATAGCAAATCATCTTCTGGACAACAGATGCTAAGGTGTAGCTCAAGAAAGTAGGAGGTATGTGTCTGTATAATAGCAAATCATCTTGAGACAGAGATGGATAACCACAGTTGTATGTAATGCCAAGCCCAAGTATGTAATGCCAAGCCCACAGTTGGTGCAGATAAGGAAGGCACTGTTACTTCAAATCCAAAATGGGATTAAAATGGAGTGGATTGTGAGTTTAAGAAAGCAGCTAACTGTTTCTACAGTACCTAATTAATAATATTGTTCACTGTTAAAGCAACAATGCATAATGAATTGACCCTGACTAAGCCCCACCCCCTTGCTTCATCTGACAAGCTTTCAAGTTTGTTAACTTGCAAGGATAGACTATTAACCTGTGAATGTTTTAGTAATAATTAGATGAAAATACATCCAAAATATTAGTAAGGAGTACATAAAAAAGGTCTCCTATAGAAAGGCTACATAATGCAGATCAGTGTAGATGATTTTAAAGATAACGTATTGTGTTTGCCCCAGCGTTCTCTAGGTGTTCATAGCTGTTAATAAATACTAATTTATTTTCATTATTTGAAGTGTACATTGAAGTAACCATTGTTTGTACCATTGTTGTACCATGTGATCATTTTAAAGTTCTGAAAGCTTGTCAGAGACGCCCACACCACCTAGTTACAGTTTCTAAGCTGCGATTGGATGATCTGTATTAAGGGGAGGGGTTTGATGCTCGTTCAGAGGCCGTGCATTACGCTGCTTTTCTCTGATATGCTGTACATACTGCATGTAGTTTTTCAAAAACTACAATTTGTTTGGCTTTGTAAATTTCAGCATGCTGTATTGTGGAATTATTATGGGAGTATACTAACTCATGCATTATTACTGCTAATTTATTGTACATTTAATATATGCTTATAATATTAACAGCAACAGATCTTGAATGTTTTATTGCAGTTCTGTGCAAATGAACTATTTCTTTTTTTTAGCTTCAGCTACTGAAGAACATGTCTTTATTTGAAACTGCTGAAATTGTTTTTTTATTGTTCATTTCTGGCTGAAGGCAGATTGTTAATAGGAACTTACAAGTGGATGTACAAACATATTTGTATAATTCAGGCTTCAGAATGCACTGTATATTTTTGTACATACATATTTTGTCATTCTTTTTTATGCACTGTAACATATTTTATAAAAGCATTGTGGACGGTGTGAAATTTATATATTTACAGTTATGTTGTCAATTTGATATTAAAACAAATCTTTTGTGTATAAATTTGAGTTTGTCACAGAAAGTTATTCCGTCTCTCATGTTGCTATGTTATGTGTTCTTACAATGTTGTGGACTAGAGGTGTCCAGTCTTATCCACAAAGGGCTGGTGTGGCTCTAGGTTTTCATTCCAACCAAGCAGATGTATGCACGACCAGTTGTTTGAAGACTGATCAATTGATTAAGTAGAAAACCTGCAGCCAGATAAGATTGGACACCCCTGGTGTAGACCACCAAGATGTCTTCCTACCTAGTTCAGGTCGGTCTGCAAACAGGGACTTTCAAAAAGATTTTTATTGGTTTCATTCTGTTGCTCTATTTATCCTTAAATAAGAAGCCTGAGTGGCCTAAAAATTAGATATGCCAATTGAAAAACTTGCTCTGAAAGAAATGTATTATACAAATTTGCCAAGTAATGTTTTTATTAGTTCTGTCAACTAACCTGTCTAAAATGGCTGGTTGGAATCGTAGCTCTGCGAAGGTCAGCTGAGGCTCAACAGTGTCTGAATCGTGAGGCCCAGCAAGGTTGCTATAAATCTCCTCTGAGACAGTGGCTTCTGGCATCTAACTGGAAGTCAATGGTGAAATGATTTCAATACAACGTTAAAAAAAAGAAACATTCAAAACAGTGTATTGAAATGATGCACATTATGTTCCGAATATTCCATTATAAACTCTGTCACAGCTTTTCCTGCTAAAAAAAAAAAAATAGAGATACGAAATAGAGATATAAAGTTTTTGTATGTATGACAGTGACAATATGTTGTGTTTTGGATGCTGGTCAGCAGTGTTAATGGGGACCTATTATGCATTTCTGGTTTTCCTTTTTGTAGTGCATTAGATAGCTTTTTGTGGATGTAAAAGGTCTGCCAAGTTATAAAGCCCAAAATATATGCCAGAGGGAGTAACTCCCTCCTAAAGAAACCACTTTTCTCAGCTGCCTGAAATGCCTCATTGGAATTCCAGCCCTTTTCTCTGTTAAAAGGTGACGTCAGTTCGTAACGCAGTCCTTATTGCCCGCCAATCGGCAAGCTCGGCACATCCTCTCATAGTGGAGGCCGGGAGTTTGTTCAGTCTTGTAACAATGTCGAGAAAATGCTGACCTGACTTGAACTCTGGCTCAAAAAGAAATGGCAGAACCAATGCTGTCTAGCCACAGCTGCTCAGAAGAGAAGGGTCTGTCTGCTAGTGAGAGCCAAGTCGTACTTAAGAGCCGTTCTTTATATTGTTGTGCCCAAATTCTGAGGCAATCTGAAAAAAGAATATGTAAATATATTTATCTGGGTTTATTTGTTCGAAAAAGATAGAATAAATACAAATACACAAAAATTTTGTCAGTGTGTTTTCCAAACTTCTACTCAAGGAGGTCCAGAGTTTACAGCTACATTCACTACCGTACATGAGGCGCCGTTATGAAGTCTGACAGCTGGACTTCAAAAGCTCTTAAAATATAACAGCGGTGTTAAAATGGTTTATGCTGTTCTGTGTTCAGGAAATGATTGTATTATTTTGTATTAAAAATGTTTAAGCATTTATAAACTATGGTTTTGCTCAAATGCTCCATATTAACCCATTCATTTTGAACTCACTCTGGAGCGCTCTCTAGTGTTTGAGAAACCCGGAAGACATTACAGAGTGGTAAGGCCCTCTTACCGAGCGTTTCAGAGAAAGGGTGAATAGAGATGTACAGTATGACAAAAATAATGTGTTTTTGGAACATTGAAGCAAGTAGAGCCCAAAAAAACTATTAACTTTGAAAATTAGCATAATAAGTCCCCTTTAGGAATCCAAGCGTAATTTCAAGTGGCTTGCTTGTTATTCTTTGCTTAATCGTCAAACTCTTTATCTATGTGAAACGCTTTAACCCTGTTAGCTTTGCAGCAACTTTAATAAGTGAATGAAGTAAGTTAGCTAGTCCAGCCAAAGCCTAGTAGAGCAGCAAGGACAGCTGATGGGCCTTCATTCCTCTTATGTGGCTCTCATCCATTTGTTGAAATAATTTAGTACAATTTATGTAAAACCAACCCTGGAGAGGTGGTGTCTGGCACATCTTGGTGATTTCCCACCAGATGATGACACTGTTAATTGCCAGGTTTTTTATTTGAGCAGGGAAATCACCATTGTACTGGCCCTCCATGACTAGAATTAATTCCCCTGTTCTAATGCACAGTCAAGGCCTTGCTGTCTATTTCTACTTGAAACCTTTCCTCGTCTCCAAAACTGTTCTTTTATGTCGTGTTCTTGGTGTTCATTACCTTGTTTAATAATATATTTTAAGCTGTCAGCTCCTGTGGTAGAAATGAACATTGACCAATCAAAAATATACATTTTTCCTGTGAAACAGATTAAGTATTCACGATGTTGCCTCAGGGCCACAAACCAATTTTTCTTGAGTTACCATGACATGAGACATATTTAACTACAATGAAATGGGTAATAATGAACAGAGGAGTATAAATAACCCAACAGAAAACGTACACTTGGTCACATTATCTCCTGGCAGGCATTTTAATCTCCTTTCTGGCATGGTGCACTTGTGGAAGACACCCGTTTTCCTCAAAAAAGCAAATTTTAATGATTTTTATGTGTAAAAAATGAAACATTACTTCACAATGTTCTATTCTGATTACATGCTTCTTTTAAAAATAGTATAAAATGGTATTGCGGCCATTTTTAAGCATGTTTATTATAAACGTCTAAACTTTGAGAGCCCTCTAAGGGTCTCTGTACAGCCATTCTACATCATACATCATACTGTTAGCAGTAATGAACACACGTTTTGATCATTTGAAGAAGCTTTAACATTTATATATCTGAGAAATTCCATATTCATTTTCAAACATTACCAGGGAAACCCACTGTAAAATTACAGTTTACATTAGTGGTAAGGAAGCATATTTCATCTGTTTAAAATGCATGATTTTTAATTTGCTGTGCTCTGTACTTTTATTGGATATTAGAAAAAGTCACATTTCCAATTATGTAGTATCTCTGCTGTCCACTAGCTGTCAGTGTTTCCCATTCTTCCACTATAATACACAGGGTTCTCCACAATCCTAGTTAGGAACCACTGCTTTAGGCAAATTCATCCTAGGTTGCTAACTGTTATCTGCTTGGGACTGTATTGTTGATCAGATGTTGTCAAAAACTAAAAAATTAAAAGTAAGATAATGAACAACTTTACTTGTAAACTCGGTAGACATCCAGTGCATTGGCTGGACTTCTGTCCTGGGGTGTTGTTCTGCGTTTGACAGGTGAAAAACCCACCAACCTGTGCTGTAAATGACACTCATGTAAATGAAAAACATTGTTTTATGTCTAGATCTGCTGTCCTTTCACATGGGTTATGGGATTAGATCGAAGTGGACTGTGGCAAGGAGTTTACCTTACCTTATTTGTTCAGGAAATGGTTGCAGGCTGTCGGCTTTACCTGCAGAGGGCACCTTTCGTCCAGACATCGTCTACCAGGGTACTATACTTTCTAAGAACCTGAGGATTTGAGAGAGAGATGTTGACTTCACAGTACAGTATATGTGCATTTTGCAGTGTGGGCTCTCCTGTTTTCTAGTTCAGCCTTTTTGACTGTGAAAAAACTGTGAAAGTTTCACAGTTACTGGATCATAACATCACATGCAGCTGATCTTCAAGATAAAACGTAATAGATTATATTAGATCTACACTCTAAATAGACTCTTGAAATCTAATTTAAACCTAATTCTAACCTTAACTCGAACCCAAAACCCTAAACCTAACTTTTACCAGATTTTGTAAATAATCTATATGGCACTGTCAAAACAAAGTGTGATGCATACCGATCCATTGTTATCATACTTTGCATTATGTTTTTCAAATTCTTGTAAAGAGGTTTTTTTCTGAAACTTCTGAAATCTTTTTTTCCAAATGCAGAACCATGTAATCGAGAGAATGTGGGTCAATGTCAACAGAGTGAACTTCACTCTAAAGGCAGCTGGTGGACAAAGAGGACCTGAATATGGAGGACAATAAAGTCAAGTACTGCATGCCTAACCTTACTTGCAGAATGGCCCAGCTTGGTCTTGGTAGGGTAGTTGACGCATGGAATGGCCACATAATCTCAGGTAAGTATGTCTGTGTCGGAGGATTTGTTAATGACCATTAAGACTTGCCAGTTTACCTACCTTGCACCTACATTTTTACATCCACATATGTATATAGGTGCACTTTGTAGGTTTATAATTACTGACTGTAGCCCATCTGATGCTGCACAATTCATCAGCCCAACAGGACTGTGTGCATTTATGGTAAGGGACCACAATAGGACCACCGCTGACCATATTATTTTGATTGTGGACCATTCTCAACATAGCGGTGACTTGAACATGGTCATTTGTATTGCACTAGTACAAGTATATTGAACGGGCTTTGCAGATGTTTTTATTCTCCTCAAGGTCTGTGATGGTCCCTTTGCATTGATGGATAGGTTAAAGAGGGGCTGATGAATTGTGCAGCTAGTTACTACTTAGTACAAAATGTGCCTACACATGGTAGGTGTTTCTTATAAAATGGCCAAAACAACTACAAGGTAAGTGTATCTTGTGAAGTAGTGACTAGTCTTCAACCCCCTCCTCCCCAAAACAATCCACTTTTTGGATTTTAGAACCACAGTGATTTTAGAACCACTGCTTCAAAGGCCAAAGGAAACACAGAAACGTGTAACAGTTGTATATTTAAGTTGTTTTAACTTTTAGTTTTTTTGCTTTTTGGTCATCATATCATGTTTTTTTTATTTGGCGAGGGTACAGTAAATGAACTATTTTCAAATTTTGTTATACTGTACTCATGATATTTACATTGTAGTTGAAGAATTTCCCTAATTTCATGATTACTGAACCTAAATTGGGTAAAGAAGAAATTAGGTAGTAAGGCTTAGATTCGTAAAACATAAACATTAGTTAACTCTTCAAGGTCAACAAATACTGATGAACTTGTTTTTAATCCTGCTTCTGGTGGCCCACAGCACTGCATGGTTTAAAGCAGGGGTGC